CGGTATTGATGCAATTTTTAAGTTGAAGTTGTTACAATGTAAGGACAAGCTAACACTTTTCTAAACATAAAAGTAACTTGAGCAAGTAAGAAAAAAATGTAGGACAAAATTTCATGGTCCTCACATAGTTTCTATTTGACAGTTCTGATAAATATTAGCATGTATGAAGGCAAGATATACAAATAATTATTTCAGGTGTGATATTCAATACATACAACAGCTTTCACAATGTGAACATCAACCAATCTTTAATAGACACAGGGGCTAATTAGAACCAATAAAATAGCTACAAGCTTCCCCCCAAATTTGGTACCAATGCACAATAATGGAATTATCTATTCTACATAATTTATTTTGAATAAACTATTAGTTCATCCATGAAAGTCTTATATTCCTAAATGGTTGGTATTTCTGAGTACGTCTGAGCCAAAAATACTGAAAAGGGTACCATGCTATTGGTTGAAGCATATCTCAAAAGTGTTGCTATAGAAAATCATGACTAACACGAATAATTACTAGTTAGCTAAATAAGTATTAACTGTCTCTATTAAGATATTTGCCACCTCTTCATTTTTTATAACATCCAAGATATCAGTAGAAACAAAATAGGATTCAATTTTGTTCATAATATTTAAAGATAGGTGTTCAGTACTTGTACATAAATAAATTTTAATAATTTTGGAATTTTAATAATTGAATAAGAAAATTCAAATAATTTGTAGATATTGAATACAAAAATGAAACCACCTAGTCAGTTCATATCAATGAAATTATATCTTTGTGAGGATTCAGGGCCACTTTAATGGAATGAAAAGAAAAAAACTCCTAACTATTAACATCAGGCTAGAATTAGCAAGATGGAAAATTTTAGCCTACAAAGATTTATTCATCTCCATCTCTCCAGGACACCTGTCTAAATTTAACCCTTATTTTCCATGAGTCTAAGACAGTACCTGAAAGTTAGGAAGTTCACAGTTATTTAGAATTTATGGTGCAACAAATACTATACTTCTGAATGTAGAGCTGAACCTTTATTAAGCAGATGTAATTCTCATTCTACAGGTAAGAAACCTCATCATCTTATATACTAAGTACCCAAGAGCCCATAGATTTGGGGTTGAAATAGTTTTTCCTGACTCCAATCCACATGATTTCTTCTTCTGAGCATAACCGTATGGTTCTACTGAATTTAATCACACTTCAATTTTAAGAAAAGAATGGTCCCAGAAGGCTTTATTCGCTTTTGATATTCCAACTCAGTGAGTCTTGAAAGAAGTGTCAGAATATGAATGTTTGTAATTGGAAATGTCTCAAGAGAAGTCCCACACCACTGATTCTGAGGGGACAAATATGTTGGTGCTTTATACGCAATTTAACTGGTTTTGCATCCAAATTATTTAATAGTTAACTGCTATTTCTATGGCATTTTAAATAAGACTCTATTAGCTTGCTTAATAGCACTCCTCCTAATCTAATATTAGAATCCCATGGTAGGTGGGGACTTTCTTCTGCCTTGTGAACTGATACTAAAACTCTGGAACTGCACAGAGCTATGATAAACACAGAGGGCACAAGAAAGCTGGCATTTCCAACTGTACTGTGGGAGGAAAAAGTGTGTTTTTATGTTCAGTAGCAGTGTTATCCTTCAGATAAAGGGGGAGATGCGTGCTTCAGTGTCAATAGAATAAGTGCTAGTTTGATGCATATTTGCACTGAGCCATCCATGTTTCCTTTAGCCCCTTGATACCAAGGAGAAAATAGTTCGTTTTTTTCACTAGCCCAGTGATAATTTAAGTCCATTTCTTTCATTTGATTTCCTCTTATTATAACTGACCAGGAAATCAGGCACCTAAGTGAACAGCTCTGAAGATGCATGTTATAGATCTGTATCTACATACTAATATTCACATAATTATATTCATTCATATGCAATATGCATACATATACAACATGGTGTACAACCCTATCAAAATATGAATTTCTAGATAGAGTTGGAGTAAGTAATTTTTAACCCATGAGAAAACAAGTAGTTTAAAGGGATCAGAGAACTACTGAATTGACAAGCTGAGAAGCTCTAAGATGCAGAAGAGAACACTGAGAAGCTCTAAGATTTGGAAGACAACCTTGTAGAGGTTAGGGAAGAATTGCAAGAGGCTTTTGTGATTTGGGGCTCTTCGAAATCTGAATTTGGACTAAGGCTGGGAAGAAAGCCACTGCTGGAGATTAGAGTAACCAGCAGAGAATTGAAGACTCTTGAGAGATTAGAATGACAAAAAATAAACTTGAGAGATCTTAAGCACTTGGTCAAGTAACCCTTGACATTTGTCAAATTCTGAAGCTGCAGGATCTTCTAAAAAAAAAAAAAAAAAAAAAAGAAAGAAAAGAAAAGAAAAGAAAAACAAAACAAAACAAAAAAAAAACCAACCTCAGACTCTCAAGATGCCCCCTAGATTTTCTGCAGATTTGTAATCCTGAGTAGAAAGATATTTAAAAATACTCATGTTCAAGATATGCCAAAGGAAAGGCCTCACAAGAACACACTGAGTAAGAGTTCATCCTGTGTATCAAGTCCAGCCCACCTCTATTTTTGTATGTACCACAAATGAACAGTAAATACCATTTAAACAGTTGAGAAAATCAGAAGATTATTTTGTTACATAAAAGAAAATAAAGTTAAATTTCTATGTCAATAGATAAAGGGTTAGCAGAACATATCTAAGACCTTCATATATTGATTTTGGCTGTTTTTGAGCAATGAGTTGTTGCAAAGAGACTGAATGATCTGCAAAGTCCAAAATATTTACTACCAGGCCCTTTACAGAAAATGTTTGCCAACCTGCACTAGGCTGTTAGTTGAAAACCCTAGTAGGCAAATGCCCTTAAGACAGGGGCAAACCAAAGATATACTGTGTCTTATCAGAACTCAATCCAACCTCAGATTGGCTCAGTTCTAAATTAGATTAGGGTAATTAGCTTTCACTCTATCTGCCTAGCAGAGGAAGGGTGAGTCTTTACAAAAGAAAGATATCATCTGGAACAGCAACAGGTTTTAAATACAAATTTTATGCACACTCCCAACATTCAGAAAATTAGTGCACTGTGTGTCTGAACTGATTTTTGATACATGAGTGATTTAACTGGCAGCCCAACAGTAATCCCTTAAAATCTAACATTTTAAAGAAGCTATAGTCCATGTTAAAGAAAGGAAAAATAAACCATAAGTAACAACATTACGTAAGTACACTCTTCTTGGCAAGAAAACTTAAATATGTGTCCAGAATAATAGCATTTTCATTAAGTAAATACAAGTTTCCATTGTACAATATTCGAATAATATGTGGAACTATCTATGAATTATTTATTTTATAGAAAATGAAAACAGATATAAACTATAAACTTTTTAAAGGATTCATTTGTCAATGACATTTGGTTCATAGGACACTGACATTATATTTTAGGCATTTACCATCTTGAGAAGGCTCAGAAGTTTTTTTTTTCCTGAAAAATCTGATAAAACTGAAATACCATAATTTGGCAATATGTTATGTCTACTTTTCTCCTAGGATTTTAAAATTTGACTTTAAGAGCATTTATAATGAAATGAACAACTCAAAAGAACAAGACAGTTATGAAGTTCAATATGTCACAGAATGTAAAAATTGTTAAATTCATTTTAATTAGGTTATACTAACATTTTACATCTGTGTCATAAGTAAATTATAACTCTCAGACATAACAGATCAGGTCATTTTAATTTATAACCTATCACAATTTGCAGCACATGTCTTATTGGTATTAATGAAATGTAACTTAAATGTGCTCAAAAGTCCAGGTCATACAATGATTTTATGAGTTAAACCACATATAGTTGTACTATAATATAGGAGGAATAGAGATATTGTTATAAATATAAAATTCAAAGCAGATAATATTGATTAGAAACTGGATATTTGTGTATTTATATGTGTATAAAAACTGCATTAGTTTTTAATTTAACTCAGCAGTGTATCTAGCCTGTGAATAGCTGCCTTATAACAGGAACACATGATATTATTTGAAAAAATCATAATTATTATTAAAATGAAAGGACTTTGAGAATTAGAGACTTTTTAAAAGTTGATTTGTAAAAAGTTTTTAAAAAGTTCAAATACTATTGGCCTGGTTGATCACCTTTTAGAGCTCACAATGACAGATGTCTCTGAACAGGGAAGTAATAATTTTGATCAGATAAAGACTGCAAATGTGGTCAAATAGTAAATCATCAGGACAGTATGGTATTTGCCATTTTAGCTGAATTATAAGCACTGTTTCAACATTAACCACAACATTTTAAAAATTTACATGTATCAGTAACAGCTTCACCTATACAATTTCCCAATTTAATAACAAGGTTTACATTCATCTAGTCCTCTGAAACTATTTGAAAAATATTCTTCACATATATGAAAACAGTCCATTTTTAAGCAAGTCTATTATATTTAAACCTAGCCCTAGAAAATAGTAAGAACAATCTAAGACATTCATGTAATTAGTTCTCTTATTTTCAGATTTGATTAAAAATATACCTTCATTAACACTGGTTCCATATTAACTGGCAGAATGCTATGACTTTGAATACAAACAAATATTATGTATAGTTCCACAATACTTCTTCTCTATGCATCATATCTGACTCCACTTAAAATATCAGAGTACTCAGAGAGACATATTGCAAACTAAAAGTCCTTAGTAGGTGGTGGAAAGTCAGGCCAGGAGTCAAACAGAATCAACAGAGATGACAGAGATGTGATATTCAGCACAGTCTCCTCGGGGAGAAAAAGCAAAACCACATGGCCCTGCTGAAATGCCGAGTTAATTCTCTCTCCTATCTGAGCTTTAAATAGTACATTCTGAAAATTGTTTCAACTAGATTATTGCTTCTTTAGGTGAGTCCCTCTTTTAAGAAACACAAACATTCTCAAAGGGCATTGCTGAAACACCATAAAAACTTAATAACCTACCATTTTCTTTGCACTCTTCTGGAGGTTTAGCCTTTTTCGCAAGTCGTGGATCCAGCCATGATGTTGTCTTTGTGTTATGGCTGAAAAGAAAAGAGATCACTCTGAACAGACACATACTAAAAGGAATCAAGTTTATTCCTTAAGAAAAAAATAAGCGGGGTTAGTCCAACAAAATTGCAATCGATACACTTAATTTGCTTACTGGTTCTAAGTAGCCCTGAAGGAGGTGTAAGAGTAATTGTGCAAGGCAGCTGTAAATTTGGCAACCTCAGCTCCCTGTCCTCAAAGCGGCTATTTTTATTAAAATCAACTTGAATGTTGCCAAGTTAACCTCATTGAAAATGCAGAACTCATCCAGAGCAACAGGAATTTATTACAAATACAGGATTCTCCAGTTGGAAGAGCACAGTCTACAGACTCTGATACTGTTTTCTGAGTTTTGCAAATGCAGTATTTTCATCTTAAACCTGCCCTTTTCATAAACAACTGTTCTGCTAACAACAGAGCTGGCAGAGGCAGTCCAAAAGTGACGCAAATTACAGCATGTTCCTGGGATTCCTACATTTTCTCAAAAAGTGATTAATGACAATTTTTTTAACTCGCATTAAGCTAACACCCTCCTAAATATTCTCAACCCATCTAGGAAAGTAGAGGATAAAAATGTCTGCCTTGTAATGTTTGTGAAATAAAATTTCCAGGATTTAATAAAAAAAATGATATTTTAATTTTGAAAAAAAAATATATGTTGTCTTACAGATCTTTTGCCAGAAATCTAAGAAGCAAAAGACCAATGTTTTCAGAGGAAGTTTACGTCAAGTGCTCCTAGCTTCACCTGCACTGGAATCACCTGGTGCACTTGCTGGCAATGCTTTCTGGGTCCTTCCAAATCAGAACCTTTGAGGTGGGACCACAAAGCCTCCATCATCTGTGGGCAACATAGGTGATTCTTATGCACATTATAGTTCAAGAACCACTCAATGGTTCAGCTGCTCATTAGAGCTAAAACACTTACTGTGTACAGCTATAGCAAGAGATCTCACCTGCCAATGGACAAATTACCAAGACTACAATGGGCTTCAGAATAGAATGTGCTTTTAGGAAAGTATAAGGTTTATACACTTGGAAGACCAACAAATGGTACATGAATAAGAAGAATAGAAAATAGGTTGGAAATAGAAATTAGGATCAGATGAAATAGGAGCACTTGAGCACAGTTGTTAGGAGGGCAAATGCTAACGTTGATAAAAATTTCACATGTATTTTTCTCCCTTCAGTGAAGTTTCTCCCTTCATTATGTAAAGCTACCAATGTTAGCTAGACAATCTGATGAACCCTATTAAATTTACTATATTAAAAGTAAAGTTCTCCTAGCAGTATGTTTGATAGTAAACTTGTAGGTACTAAGTTTCCCCCTAATGGAGGGAATTTTGAAGCCAAAAGGATAAAGGAAGGAGACAAGATGGGCTGTGGAAAGTTATTCCAAGGTGTTAAAGCACTCTTCAAAAATCATTTTCTTGATGATCATTACATGTGCCTGTGCATACGGCCATCTCTGACCTGAGACTTTAAGACTGGTGGGTTTTGAAATCTCTGCTCCTTATAAAAGATCCACTTCTACTTCTGACTCTTATGTGGAGTAAGAGAAAATACTGTCCACTTTCCTCACTTTTAAAAGCTTCTCAGTGATAGATGCCTCTGACCAGGGCTCTAATAACTTGATCAGATAAAGTCTGTGTATTTGATCCAGTAATAAATCATCAGGAGAGCATGCCAACTTTTATTTTCCCCCAATTTGACCTTTGTAAAGTCTGATGGTGCTTCATTATCAAGTTTCAGGAGGAAATAAAGTATTGAGGACACTTTCATCTGGTTCTAGCCCTCATTTATAGGATGTCAATATAATCTAGTCTTTTGCTCTGAAGACTGGGTGCTCTCGCATGGAGGTGTGGACTAGTCTAAATGTGAGGATAGAAACACTAGCTTCAGAGTTTGCTGCTCTCATTTTTAATAAATTGCTTTTAAAATACTCATTATACACATGCCTCTCTCTCTCTCTCTCTGTGTGTGTGTGTGTGTGTGTGTGTGTGTGTGTGTGTGTGTGTGTTGATATTCATGTTTCTATAAGGTAGGGGGAAATTTTGGGAGTGGGCAAGAAAAAGAAATTTCTTTTTGTCCTGCTTCTTCCAAATCCTTCAAATCCTTTCCCCATTTTGAAGAAAAGTGATTTCTCTGTCCTTTAGACATATTTATAAAAGCAAATGCATCTATGGATAAGTATTAAGAGCCATTAGTAAACCACAACAGGAAGTCAAATTACCATTTCTATATCACATCACCATGGGTCTAAAATACTGGCTAATTTTGTAGGGAACTGTAAGCTTCCTGGCTTTCCTAAGTTTGTGTGAAGCATTTCATTATAGGATGATTTTTTTTTTTTAGGTTGAACTAGCATTAACAGTGTGTCACTTTAATACATTTTGACAGATTGAGTCTCTTATAGTTAACAGCATTTTTAGCTGTTGTTCAGAAATGATTCTGAAAGAAATGTGGGTAGTAGTTACCTCCAGTAATTGCCTTAAACATCACATGAAGATACAGCACAGTATTTTCAATAGTGACTCTCACCAGCCTTATAATTTGCATGTTCCTTCCAGATGCCCTACAAAGGGGACATTTTTCATGCATTTGGGAGACAAAGGACCAAATAGTGTTTCCACTTCCTTAAATTACATATTTTTAAATTCTAATAATTCCATTTGAAAATAGGATTAAATGCTGGTCAGGAAACTGTGTACAAAATGAAATCATTGAAAAAATTTTCACCATCTGCAGGCTATCTTTCCTCCAATTTGAGAAGGTGATTTCATTTCACTTTCTTAGCTAGTTCAGATTCAGATGCATGACATCAGTTTTCCATATTAGATTAAATTGTGTTGCATAAATACTAGGAAAAGAAAATGCTATATCATTTTATATTGCAATTTTTTTTAACAGGATACCTATACACATATAGGCTACTTTTGCACAGAAACTTTTCTAATTCTAACTGGGGAATGGAACATACAGTTTTTAGTAACCTTTAGTAATCATAAAATGACACTGCTTTACGTATTTCTATGGGTAGAGCTTATGTGCTAAGCACTAATGTAAAAGATCAGATGAAGAAAAGTCAATAGTTATTTAAGTTCAGTCAATGTCAAAAAAGCTGGATAAAAATCTCTAAAATATGTTTTATCCTATGGGTATATCCAAAAAATCTTCTCTAATGTTAAACTATATATTTAATCTATCTAGAGGATTAGGAAAAGCCAGAACTGAGGTTTCATTCAACTTCACAATTATAGTTCAAATTCCTATCAGGATGGTCTTGAGGATACACAGTAGGCTGACCTGTAATGAATCAGAAATTTCTGTACATTTTGTAAGCTTAACCTTTGCCAAACTGACAAAAGCAGCAGGTTAAATAATAACATCTTCTGAGCAAACACTCTTCTCACATAGAGCATGCTCCATTTCAATTGGAAAAGCTACTTTCAGTACAGTACATCACAGCACAGCCAATAATATTATCTCACAGTTCTTGCTATCTACTCTGTTGGGGACTCAGCAGAATATTTACATCATTTTATTTAATGCCAATGAGTCTGTGACTAAGTATTATTAACTTCATTTTATAGATGGAGAAATAAAGATTGAGAGAGGGTAGATAACTTGCCCAGGTTACAAAGCTAGTACATGAAAGCGTGTGTACCCTGATGTAACTGGATCCCATGTCCCAGGGTTTTTGGTGAAACCAGGGGCATACTGAACCTAACACTGCTTTGCATTTGGAGTATTTTATGTCACTCCTCCAGGTGGCAATCCAGCTCCAAGTTCCTGTGTCATTCAGAAATAAACCCTTACATAGGGTACTGGTCATGACTTAAATTCCTTTGGAAGTGTTGAGCATTGCTCTTAGTAGGTATTAAACTAAATTGCACATGCATAGAGATGAAAGAGCTTTGTGATTGAGAAGGTACTGACAATATCACTGGAAAAAAATTTTCTCCCCAATAACTTAAGTTCTCTATATGAATAGTTTTTTCAAATCAAATTTTAGTCATTCAAATCCAAATGTTTTTCCAGAATAAATCCCCTTTTTAAAATCCCCATTTATATAATGTGCATATGAATATTAGGTCTTGGGCCCTAAAGTTAAAAAAGACTACCAATGGGTTGAATATTTATTAGGAGCAGAGTTTGAAAGTTTCTTATCACTCATGCCACACTCTTTCCTGCATTCCATTTTTCCACTCACTCTGTTTTCCCAGTGAGGGTAAACACACCTTCTCTGCCAAATCCAATTTTAAGACATGCTTTCCTTTCTTTTCTCTTTTCTTTTTATTACCACCTGGGCCAAAACAACATTCCCATCACTGCATGAATATTGGAAGTGTTTTCATTCAACAGAAACATTATTAGTGGAACAAGAATCTTTTATTATTAAACATTCTTTTCCTTTTCTCCATTTTCTCTAAAAACAGTAACTGATTTTAGAGTCAATAATTATTCAAAATGTACATGGTTGTCAAAGTTTCAATAGTAGCAGTTATGCGGGTTCAGAGACAAAAAATCATAGAGATTGTTGATCATATTTTATGAGTTAAGCATTATTTTTAAGGATACACTAATAGTGAAACCTTGAGATGATTATATTACTTCCAAATGACTTCAACTTCTTTCTACATCATCATTCCTAAAAGAACTATTGGAAACAGTGATTGGACATATGATTAACAGAGGAAACTTTTTCAAAGACTCCATTTGCTCCAAGTCTTGCTAATTTTTCCCTATTTATACAAAGGTAATGCACATATAAAACTACTGTTAATGACCTTTTAATGACTGTTTCCTAAATAATGCTCCTATAATTTTGCTCAAGCATGTGAGTCAGGGAGCTTGCTACCACCCTGCCTTTCAAGTATTCAGCAAACTTTTTTAAAAAGAGGTTTTGTTGTAAGTATTGTTTTGAACATTGTGGGTGTTATTTCACACTATTTTATCTAAAACACTTTTTTTTTTTTCCTGAGGATTATACCAG